TCAAGAAAAGATTTGCTCTTTAATGGCTATGTTATTCGGCAAATTACGTCAAACTTTTTGATACCTGGTCCGATGATTACCTAACCAAATTAACGGTGATGTTGTGAGTCATGAATCCATCTTACCATCGCTTTCTTTCATCTCTTGATAACGATGATGATCAAACAGTTTCGATAAGCATTAAAAAAAAAAGAATGAAAAAAAAAAATACACTCACGAAAATACTTTCGATGTAATGTAAAACGTACATTGTTTCAGGCTATTATTTATTTTTACGCTTCCAGTTTCCATTTACTTTCAATTAGCCGTTCACACGCGGCATAATAGAAAGTAAAACGAAATCCAAGATGAGCCACCCGTTGCTTTTGCGTGCATCGCGCAAGATTAATTGTATTTACAAATTCTATGGGGAAATCTACGAATTAATCTAGAGACTTAACTACTTCCTTCTCGATGTTTACAGGTAACGCGTCGATTTTCACTTGCATTAACTTTCATCGTTCGGCTTCGACTACAGTAGACACTATGAGCTCATTTATTCGGCCGACGAATAGGAAGTTCGAGATTTAACCGGAAGCACGCTATATGCGCCGGGCCACAGCCACATAGGGACGTCACTGGGTTGCAGCAATAACTCAGATAGGGCTGAATGCTTTTCGTCATCGATTAAAGATACGAATCGTATAGATAAGTCATATTTATTTCGAATCGATAAAAACAACCAGAATATTACATAAAATATATTTTTGTCAGATATCTTTAATCCAGACACGTAGCCGCTACAAATTTCCCCGAATTTTGTAGATAAAACAGATTTGAAAATCGTTAGTGAAAGCGGAATAAAAATTGGGTATAATCATTTTCGAGTACGAGGTAAGGTTAAGTAGTTATAAACACGATTGTCGAACAATTACATAACAAAAATTTCTCTGGATACCCGATTACTCTGTAATAACGCAATTAAATATCTCGCATGATATACCGAAGCTGCATACCGACGAACGATCACCAACATTGTAACCAACAAAGATGCACGCACCTACCACTCTTTTCTTACAACAAAATACCAAGGGGATAACTCATTCGACAAATAATTGGTCATTTAACTTACCGACATAACCTCAAAAGCTTGCTCGACATTTTATCTGTACCGAGTAAATTGTTCTGTTTATCTAGCATAAAAAAAATCACTAGAAATCTCCCTAGGCTAAACCAAAGTATCGAAGAAGAAAATAAAGAAGTAATTTCAAAGATTAGGCATTCGATGAACTTAGAAGATGGCTGATTAGTGCCAGGAAATACGAAATTGCCCCGGAAATATGGTGTATATAATGGCGGGACAGGGAAGACCGTGGCAGAAGAGACCAGGTGAAATCTGAACCGTATTATTATCGAGACCCGTCCCGACTTAGCACGAAAAGAGACACCGACGTTCTATTGACACTGATAGCCCGAGCAAACATTCATCCGGCGTACTACATGCGCATGCCAAAGGGAAAAGAAATAAAGGATGAGGCAAGCTCTAACAAGTTCAAACCATATGACGACACGGCTATATTTGGTCACAGACTAACATTACCGTCGATGAGTCGCTTGGATGGTTGCCTATATTTCGGTAGCTGTTTGTCAGGCAACTACCATTTTTGACCACGAATTGAGTAGTTCGTAAAGGAACCATGATTATGTGACGAAATACTCCTACATTTAACGCGAACGTATCGCATTTGTAGTGGTACGTGTTGCACATATAAGTTGGTTTTATGTTTGTGGTTAATTACGACGAAATATGAAAAGTCCCTAGGAAAGTGTGGTTATGTATGTTCATCTTACGCTAGATCGAAGAATCGCGTGGTAATGCGTTTAATACGAGAGTAATTGGAGTTTATGAACACTTTATTCCCATTTTTAGGAATTTCAGTGCAATACACTGATAATGCTGCGATATTTCTTGCTCTTTGTAAATATATCTTATTTGCTATCTAATATTTGCAGGGACACCTTTTTTCTTTGTTATATATTGGGATTATGGGTTTATAACTGTAAGATAACTATGGTATATATATTCTCTTTTAAATTCTTCTATTACTCAAGGAAGGTATACCTATCTTTGAGTGCTTCACTAGAGCGACTAATCGACTAATGAGAGGGTGTCAAGAGGGTACGTACTGCGCAGTTTACCTAACTAGGTATCAAAGTAACTAAGGTCTAAATCTAGGTATTAAACTATTCATTCACACCTTGCATCCTACGTTGATCTTTGTATATAACTAAACTTCTTCAACATTATATAAACTAAAATACGAGTATAAATAAGGTATATAGTACTATGTAATTTTGAAAGGGACTGTATTACGATAGAAATTTTAGTTCTTTTTTAGTTTACCGAGGAATAAAATTCAGCGAACAGGAAGGAATATAATCTTTTTACGATGTGCCATATGCTAGCCCTTCGTTCACCGGTTTGGCATAACAGTTCCTTACCGGAAGTGCTTCTTTATTATAGAAAGCAGAACAATGCTGCTACTATGTGAATGAGTCTAAGACGCCAAAATACATGACGCACTGAAAATGACCGAGTTGAATAAAAAATACCGGTTCTCGAAAAAAGAAAATACTAAACAATACATAACCTCTAAACAAGCTAAATGACGTAGTCAGTTACAATAGAAATGATTTGACCTCGAAGTTGACAGTCTTTTGTAAATTTCTGTTGCTCAAACGAAAGATAACGCCGTTGTTTGACGTAATCATATTCTAATTTAGAAATGAAATCACTTCGGAACACGTTTTATGGTCCTAATCTCGTTGAATATTACTAGAATTCAGTCGTATAACTGATAAGTTAGCAGTGTGAACAAAAATGCAGTTTGATTGCCCTGGTTTACATAATTGTTTTGAAACTGCAATAGACTGATTATTTTTATCATTTACATCATCATTAATTAGTAAAGCGGTTAGAAACACGATTACAAAGCGATTATTCTTATCATTTTTGCTCGAAGTGGTAAAAGTATAATTTTTGTCGCATTTCCGCCGAAGGTTCTAGCAATTTTTCGTGCGAGCACTAGTAAACTAGATAATAAAATTGCATTTGACATTTACATAACTGCGAAATGTTTCATCGCGAACGAGCTGTAATTTATTTAGCCAGACAATTCGTTAATCCAGATGACATCACTAGCTTCTCAGAAGTTTGCACATGTTGTCGACATTTAATTCCAATTTCACGGCGTCATTGCAAGCCCGACGAAGATGGCATCGCAGTATCTGATGAAGCGACGCAAAGGATTACTTCCGGTTTACGACTTCACCCGCACCTAACTGAATCACTGTCATTCGCGATAAATTGATGGATACAACGTGGAGAAGTTCTTAATCTTCGAGCTTTCATATTTTACAAATCCAAAAATCAGAACATTAAAATTTTTAAAAATTTGAACATCGAAAATTGCCAGAAACTTGAAAATCAAAAGTTTCGGAACTTTGAGAAACGAAAATTTCAAATATTTCAACATTAAAAAATTCAAATATTTAAAAATTCGAAAATTTGGAAATTTAAATACTTGGACAAAATTTATGCTTTACGAATGATTGACATTCTCGATGAAAAATCGTACCGTAGTCATAATATTCGTGCAATACCCCATTTATCGTGAACTTTGTAATCGTTCGAGTTCTTGCTCAATTAAGAAATAACGACCTCGTTGTTGGTTACAGGAAAATACTTATTACGATAATCGTAGAAGGTAAAATAATTACTTTACGCGATCTTCCATGTCGTGTCACTGACATTCACCGTCAATGAAAAAAGAAGCGGTTTACATTTTCGATTTAATGGATAAAGTTAATAATAACCTTTCGAAAAATTTGTACAAGGATCATCTATAGAACGCTAGTGAGTCATTCAGTTTCCTGCAGACGTTAATTGTTAAATTATAACTTTCACGAAACAGATTGAGCAACGAGTTATATTACGTAATTATCTGTGTTCTCGATCTTGAGAGATGAGAAAAAAGGCAAACGAACGTTTCGCGAATTGTTCGCGCCATTTTATTACCGAATATCATCTTCAGAATTCAGAAACTCTTATAATCTAACACGAGAGTGATAGTTACTAATCAAACTTGTAAATATTCGATTTTATTTTATTTCGGTTCAAAGTGATAAAATGATTACACGTATCGTCCAACCTAACCTATATGAAATTTCAAAGAAGCACCTCCGACAATTCTTATCTATTTTTGCATCATCTGCTTAGTATAAAATACATATTTTAGCATATTTGAATATTTTTCACTCATCCACTGCGTTTCCTACATCCCACACTATACACTGTATATTACAACTTGCGGATCGGTCTACCTGTATATTATCGAGAACGTGACCGAATGGAACGTGTTATTTCAGAGAAAATGACTATTCGTGCACTATTTAGTTGCGAGCTTCATGGTAGGTCGCATTTCTGATCTACGCAACAGCGTAGCTTGCGGTGTCTTTTGTGACTTTTGCGTAAGCTCCCACGCATCACATTAGGCCACCTTGCATTCTGAGTTCGACGTACGAATTCACAGCGGAATGTACGTTGCAGGTATATGAATACAATGGATTGAAATTATCTAGACACGCTTCAACCAACTTATTTGAATTTCGATGAACCGTCCTTTCGAACAGAAGTTGTCAATTTTGCATTATAGGGGATCCCCCTTTTTCTCCTAGTGAGAAATTGCTCAAAATTAAATTAGTTTCAACGAAATTGAGGGCGATAATTATATAAATCTGTTTACAGTTCGATATAAAATTCAATATAAATGTGTTTTGTTACTATTTGTCAGAAACAATAATAAAAATCTGTAATGTAAATATGAATCACCGTGTATATCTTAGAATTTTGTTATTGTTGTTTTTTCTTTGGAAACATTTTTTACCTGTAATGTTTTTTATTGTGAGTACCAGAGGACGTTACGAACGAAATGTTCTTTCTCTTTCAGTCAGTGGTTAGATGACATTTTGTGTGGGAATTCAAATGTGATTGTGTTATAAAAATAATTAAATCTTGCTTAAAGTAAGTTTAATTTTTAAAACTACTATGTTTCAGTTTATTCTAGTTTTCTACGTATTGGTGAATTGAAATACTCGAAACAAGGTTAGATAACATAACCTATAAATTTTCAACTTATTAATCGGTAAAATTATATAGTTTTAATGATTATTAACACTTATAAGAATGTGTCAACAAATATTAATTAAAGGATTTAATTATTATTTAATAGATGATTCTTTTGTTATATTGTTTATTTACTTCCCTAATAACAATTTAAGTAATACAAAAACTCCCTAAATCAACAAAAAATCATTTCTTACTATAAGATTGTATAAACAGATTTATCTATTTTATTGTTTGATGTACAAATGTGAGCAGAAAATTAATTCTTTTTATTTTTACTTAAACATACTCATAGTTTATTAAAATACATGAGTCAGAGTTACTTGTTCCCTGGAAAATTGTGTTTGCAGTTGATTCAACAGAGTGATTCTTTGTTATGTCACAGTGCTAGTGATTAATTGGTATGCTGCAAATGAGAATATTACAAGTAGGTCAAGACTATAAAATTAACTATTGACCTTATCTTTAGATCTGACAATGTTATAACAAGATAAACCATGTTACTTTACATTTGACATTTGCAGGCATGTCAGGAAAAAGGAAAAAAGTTACTGTGACCATGGAGAAGAAGCTAGAAGCACTATTCCGAATCGATAAAGGTGAGCCATTGAAAAGTGTTGCTATTGATTTAGGGGTGGGCACATCAACTGTTTCTGATTGGAAAAAGAACAGAAAGGAGATTGAAGATTTTTGTGCTAAGATGGTTTCTAGAGATAGTTTAGGTAATAGGGGAACAATTAAAAAAGCAAAGAATGTAACACTGGATGATGCACTGTATGTATGGTACATTCAAGAACGTGAAAATGGCGTACCAGTGTCAGGACCTATTCTTAGAAAAAAAGCTCTTAGCCTTAACAAGAAACTAGGTGGTGATCCTACTTTTACAGCAAGTGTAGGATGGTTAGGTAGATGGAAAGCCCGTCATGGAATAAGACTGACTCTCTGTAGTGAAAGTTTATTAGAAGATGCTGTAACTAATGATACCTCAGATCGATTAATATTAGAAGATGACATTGTGACTGTGTGTTTATCTACTCAAGATGAAGAGGATATTCAAAACTCATTTAATGACAGATGTCATCAAGAAGCAACTAATGTGAATCATTTTGAAGCAACAGAGATGTTGGAGAAACTTATAACCTACTTTGAGCAACAAAGTGATACCTTGGATAATGATTTAGTGAGCTTAAGAAATTTACATGAACGTGTATCAAAGAAATATTTATTAACAATAAAAGAGGAAAACACTAGTGATTTTGTTAAATAACACTTTCAGTGTATAGTTATAAATTGTGATCTTCCTGGTACCAAACTTTCAAATGTAAATAAATTGTGTAAATATATAATATTTTTCTACTTTTGATCTATCAAGAATTATGTACTATGCGTTATATCAGTTCCCATGTACGTCATTAATTACACCAAGATTAATTATCTTATCAAGCTTTATTTTAAAAAATTTTAAGAACACAAAGAGAAAATATTTGTTCTAATCAGCTCTAGCAGAATCATAATTTATGAGGTAAGTACAATTTCTTAAATCTTACCTTCAAGCACTATGAATATATTGATACACATTATAAAATCTAAAAAATTGTGTAATATGATAAAAAAAATAAAGTAATCCAAATAAAAATCAAATTCCAAGGATTTATTATTCCCCAAAATTATCAGTATCCATTTCAAACTCTTTGCAATCATAACAAAATGGCATACCAATTATTACTTTATCTTTACTCCATTAATTCTTATGATAATAGACAATTCAAAAGAAAAGAGAATTAAATAGATATTGACTGTGTTCCATTATAGAGTCAGTTAAATCATGTAACCGACTATTTACAATAAGCAAACTAATTCATTTGCCATTGTTCAATTACCTCTCCAGTAGCTATCTAATCGATTCGATAATAACTTAATAAGATCTCAGGGTGAATATCCTCTTTGCTCTTTCTTTTATCATGCATTCCATCGTTCGTCTAGGTCGAACGTTGAAACCGGAGGATCTTCGTGGAATCGTGGCGATTCCAGTTTCCACTCCGTCGCTCTGATTCGCTCGACGAATTTCCAAGAAGCCTCTGCCTATGCCTCTACCTATGCCTCTCTAACGGACCATTGAATTTCAGCAAAATTGCGTTGCGCGTACTCCATGGCAGAGGAAAAGCTGCGATCGAGGGGATCCACCGTTAGGTTATGAAGATGCTGTAGGTTTGTGTATCCTCTCAAGCGGAAACCGAAACGGACCATTACATCAAAGTTATGCGAAAAAAATGTACATTGCACTGATCGAATTTATTTTAGTCATTGAAAAAAATTTTTCCTCACAATTTTTTCACACGTATTTTTTTTAGAAAATGTAGCAATAAGAAAGTGTAAATGTAATTACAGAAAATTGGTGTATTTTATATTTCAATTTGAATTGGAAGCATGCTATAGTGTATACTAAATCAAATGCTCAAGGTCACTGGCTACCAATTTTCTGTCATTTTCTACTTCTTTTCTTTTCTACAAGGAAGTTGTCAAATCTTGAATTTGTGTAAATTTTGTATATACAGTTAAATGTACATTAAAATGAAATTTAATAAATAGAAAATTCATTCGTCGTTTCAGAAAAAAACATGGCCGCAGTTCTATATGGAATACGGCACTACAGAGGTCGTTTTCATCACATGACAGTGATAGTACTTGAAACGAAGCTAGTTGTGTATTGATGGCGTGAAGGGGGGTTTTTTAGCCACAGTGTGAAGGAGCTGCTAAATATGCTGCTCATATATGATGCCACTAAATGAGAGCAGAATTGAAATACCCATTGAGCGAAATGAATGGCGAAAAGTGAAATGAGACCCGGTCGGTATTACTTTTCTGTTTGATCATAGGAGAAGATACATCGAATGATAATGACTCGTTTCACCATGTCGAGTGGTGAAATTCGACTGAGTTCGCTGACCGAAATGATACGCTTTTTACCTTCTTGTTTAATGAAAGATAACGAAATTCAATTCCAAGAGAGATGTTTTAGAAAATAGGAAATGGAATGGAAAACTATAAAAATATTAATAGGAAGGAAAACTTTGTAACTATTCGGTATAATAGTCTTTTCATAGTACACTTTGCATTGTCGAAGTTATCTTTCGAATTTGTAGCTGAGAACAGGTATTGAATAATGATTTCACGCTATCGGGTCAGAGATAGCAGCGCTACAGCGGACCAATTGAAAACTATTTATTCCTTTATCTTATCATCATTCCTGCATTAATTGCACGGAATCCTAAACGTTGCAGTTACCTTTTCACCTACTAACGCTTTCCTTTCAACCTCTCTCTTACTTTTATAGCGATGATTTCTAATTTAATTAATCTAATTTAATCATATACTTATTTTAGTATAATTAGCTTCAAATCAATCGAAAAAGTCGTTTTATCAAAAATAGAGGACTAATGTTTTTGAAAGTGACTGTAATCTAAATTATGGAAGTTCTGAATCAGTCGATTTTAAATGTTAATATATTCACCTGATTGTTTATAGAAACATAGTTAATGTCAGATATGCTATTCATAAAAATGCTATCCTATGTAATTTGTTTCAATATTTAAAATTCCCAGGTAAGTATAGCGACAGGGAAAAAATTCGTACATTGATTTTTGAAACGCCTTCTATTGCATTCAACAATGATTCTCGTGATGACGTCAAAGGCGTGTAGAAAGTTGACAAGAAAAATCTACATTCCTGCATGCGTTCTGGCAGTTTTACATTCACCGTCGCGCCGTGGCCGTCTACCAGAAGAGTTCGACCGCGTGTACGCGCCAGATAAAATTCCGTTCCTTCATATCGTATTCTGTCGGCGCGTCACGACGGGTCACGTATGCGGGGCTTACAACTAATTACGCCAATGAGAGATGTCGTTTGAGATGTACGACCGAAATCTGTATCTCGTGTCTCGTATCCCTCTTCTTTATATTTTGGGACAGTCAAAACAGCTGCATAAGACATGTTACTTCGAATAAGGCATATAAATCGGCTAACAAATTTGAACGAAATATATATGTCGATATTACATTTGTTCCGTATAATTCTATCGAGAAAATTGAATTTAAAATAAATAAAGTAAAAATTTGAAAATTGAAAAATATTTATCTATGGAAAGTTTCAAAAATGATTGAAAATATAGGTTATACGTTAGCCTTAGAACAAGAAGCAAGAGCCACTACTGTCCTACATTTCGCCATTCATGTTATACCCTAAATTCCTAGTTCCATCTAGTGGCGCAGAAAAGCATCAGGGCGCTCCCTACCATCGGACAGTTGAAAACAGGTTGACGGTAATGGCGATACCCACGTTGGCACAATAACATTGCACGCGAGAATTTTTTCCGTGGTCGTTCGTAAATCTACGATTGACGGAACGCGGGAGTACGCGTTAAGCCTTGAAGTCTGTAACCGGAGTCTTGGCTTGTTCGTTCGTCTTGGGTTCCAGGACTCGCCAAGGATCTTTCTCTTTGTCTCTCTCTTTCTTTTCCGCTTCTCCGTCTGTTACAAGCGGTCTCAACGAAGAAATGAAGGGAGGAAAGGGGGGCTTTGAGAGCGGTCCAGCAACTCCCCCAGAAAACGTGTGTGCGCGCGCGCGCACGCACGAGAAACGTACATTTCGTTGGTAATACTCTGACGTTGAGCAGCGATGGGAGTGATATTCTGTTTAATTGATGTTGCTCAAGTCTTCAAATTTGATTTGAATCAATCGTATAATTTATATCATTGATACCGTACCGTAACATTGAGGTAACCTTTGGCTCAAAATATATTCTATATTATGTTCCCTGCTTGTAAACAAAGCCAATACTATACATGTATAAAGTGATTCACATATTATGGCCACAAATTATAGCTTCTGTAAGAGTTTCCATATTTTTTTTTATAATAAATGTTTACTAATTGTGTCGTATAAAATTCGACCATTTTGGAGATACGACCTTGAAATGACTTTAAGCGGAAGAATACTTGAATACGCGAGCTCTCGGGACGATGCCTAAACTGATTACATTTGCATACTAATGAGACTTCGAATCGAATATTTTTAGTTCGATTTTAATTATATCGACCAGTGTCACGCAAACATGTTTTGAAAGCAGTGTTGTTTTCTTTTGATCTGATAATTCCTTTCGGCGTTATCTCGTGTATTATATAATTCAAATTGAAAGTTTATTTTAGTATATAATCCATATTTTCTAGTGGATTAAACAATCTTTTCTTGCATGTAACGATATTTCGATGTAACATACCCACACACATGTAACGTACATTCCTATCTTTTATTTCGCTTCAGAGTGCCTAATAAACGCATAAAGAATTAGATCGATAAATTATCAATCCTGAATTAAAATAACTATTCGAAATACCACGTTTCGGACTGCATTTCAAACAAATTTACCCACAAAAGGTCAATTCCATCGCTATCTACACGCACACGACTTTCGCCCGCGAGACGCGCATCGAAAGGGACCACTGGTGGAGGGAACGCGAAAAGTATCGGTGGTGGGGGTAAAGGGAGAGGACATCTGGTGGGGGCAAGAAAAACGACTCTCCAGAAAGGGAGGCAACCATGGCGAGGAAGTGAGAAAGAGAGAAAAAACGACATCCATTGAGAATTACGGTATTCGCCGAGTAGAGGAACGGACCGTAGGCTGAGCTTGGAGGGGCTCATTAGAAACTCGAGGCACTACGACGGCGCGCGCGAGCGTAATATTATTTCCTCGTGGAACGCAGGGACTAAGGCTGATCAAATGCCGGGTACCGTTCGGGAAAGGATCGAAGTCCGCTCCAATTTCACGTGCAACGACGCCAGCGCTCCGTTATGATTGCTCCGCTCCAACAGAGAGAACTTGTTCCGACCGCGGAGGGAAAAGGAAAATCTCCACCGGTCTGGGCTCCCTTCTGTGCTTACGCGCACACGCGGTTTTCCAGCTGTCCGTCGAGCGACCTTTGCAAACGACCAGTTCTCCGCGAGGAATTCTGACCTCGTAACGGAATGACTGTACACAGGCGCACATGTGATAACGTTTCCTAGGGGGCGGGGGTGGCAGTGGTAGTGGAGACATCTTGAGGGAGAAATCGATATCGATTTTTTCGTTGGGTATAATCGTATCGAGCCGGCGTTTGAAACTTTGTAAGGTTAATGTATGGAACTGACTTCAAAAATCGCGATGAATTTTAATTACAAAACTGGAATTTTAAATTAATATAATAAATGAAAAAATAAAAATAATATAATAAATAGGTTAAGTCATGCGGAAATAAATTACTTTGAAATTAGTAATAGTGATATAAATAATGTACACTACACGTCATTATTAGGAGATTACAAGGAAAAATTCTTAAAGGATGAGACTCAATGCTAGCAGAATAATAGCTAGCAAATTATTTTAATTTTTTTTCCTGACCTTCCTAGTATTGAATGCGACCCTTTGTTTCGTCCTAAACAAGTTTCACATGCTTTACATCTCATTACTACTTTACTTGAATCTCTAATTAATTCAAGTAAAAAAAGGGACAAAACAAAATAATAAGAATAATGTTTCCACAATGTTAATAACAAAAAAGCAATAAATATATAAAAAAGGTAACACAAAGGAAAACGTATAATTATAAAAGGAATATTTTAATTAATACGACATTCATCGTTGCTAATCTCGAAAAGATCAAGGATAATCGATTCACACAACGAGTTCGCAAAGATTCTTGTGTCATGACGAAAGTAAGCCTTAAAGGAACAACAACTTTCGTATACGACTTGTGGCGTCGAAACATATCAGTGGATCCTTTACGTGAAATGTCCCACGTGACCTGCCGACCTCTGCGCGCGTAAACTTTCTGTTTGTCGACCAAACAGTTCGAGGACGATAAACAAACTCGTAAGTCTAATCTGGTTAACATGCAAACTATGAAATCTTACTTTTTCTTTCATTCATTGCATGAAATTATTACAATTTTATCTTAAAGTATGCCTTACCAACACAAATTGAACTTATGTTGGACTAGATCATTCAATAAGGCAGATGGCATAATTGATCGTTTCGTAGAAAGGTGACAGACTCTCAAGTACATACCTTTTCAACGTGTGTACGAAGCCTATCCAAAACGCAAAAGCACCTGTCGAATCCGTGGCAACACTCTGTCAAACACACTTTCTAAGCACACAGAATTCACTAAAAGGGCACACTTAGTTTTTGTCCGAAGACTTATTCCGAAATTTGATAAACACACGCGCACACGATACGAACTGAAAAACGCACGCTTTAACTTTATACTGGCGGTAGCGTGACACGCGAACCGTACCGAGGTCTGCGCCAATGCGTTTGCGGCTTCGAACTCCGAGCGGTTCTTCGTCTTGGTTCCCGCCGCCCTTCCACAAGCCGTTCTGGAGTTTCTTCTGGATCGCCCCACCCCTCCGTTCCGGTTGGTTCGCCGGCATTTAGCCAATATTGCCAACCAATCCCTGCCATCTGTGAACAGAAAATAATACTAAATTTAGTTTTTATTGATTGGATAAAAAATTTAAATACTAACTCTTAAATTATGAAATTTTAATTCTTTTCATATTTACTACAGTATTGTAATATTATTACAAATTTCAGAAATGCAGGAGAATTCTTCATAAATAAGTAATTTTATAATTCACAATACATTCAAATTTTAATAGAATTCGAATTATACTTTGTACAATAAATTATTTTTGAAAATAAAATAATTTTATATCTTTACAAAAATACTTTAACCTTCCTTTAATTTAAAATTATTAACAATTATCTGTTTTATCGTTTAATTGTGATTGTAATAATCGTTGATAATATATCGATTGATAAATACTTAAATATCGATTGATGGTACAATGTATCCACTGATAATCACTGATTTCTTTTGTATGTAGAATCACGCTAATGGTGGTTGTTCACAGGAAGAACATAACCTATCAGTTAAATATATTTTGTTACGCGTGATATAAATGTAAATACACAATGACGGATACAGAAATATTTAATAGCGTAATAAATACGATTAATAATAATACTAAAAAGCCAGAACAATTTCTAAGGTAAATATATTTTCATTATTCTTCTTTCCTAACCTACAATATTCTAAACTAGTAGAAATAATTTTATTTATAGCGTACAAAATAAAGTTGCTCTTGATTTTAAAAATTCCATAAAATGTTTATACGACTTTACGAAACTACAGTCACAAAGAAATACGAATGCATTGCCAGAGCTTGTGACAGAAGGATTTGATGAAGAACAGATCTGGCAGCAACTTGAATTGCAAAATGAGGGTGAACTTGATCACTTGGTTGCTAGAGTTTCTAAAGTTTTATCTGAAAGTAAGAGGTTGACAATGCCAATTAGTACAATTAAACCTGTACCTGTACAAAGTAGTAAACATTTATCAGAAGAGGAAGATATAATTGTAGCAGAAACTTCTGAAGATGAGGAGGAAGAGAAAAGTACTTTAGGAAAACAAAAGAAGGATGTGAAGAAACAAAAAAAGAAATCATCCATAGTAGATGATAAGTTTTTTAAATTAGAAGAATTAGATGAATATCTAACTAAAGAAGAAAGGAAAGAGAAGCACAGTGAAAAAAATGAAGAAAAATCTGATGATGAATCTGTAGATTTATTCAATGATGATGGTGATGACAAAACTGAAGAAGTAAAACTTTTGAAGTATGCAGACTTCTTTGATAGTCCACAGAGTGAAGATGAGGATCCTAATTCCATGCAACATAAAGACACAAATTATGAAGACTCAAATGACAGTGAATTAATGGATAATGATAGTGACTTAGATAATGAAATGGATATAGATAGTGAATTGGATGATCAAAAATCTTCCAAGAAAAAAGTTACATTTAATCTCACAAATGATTCTGATGAAACAGATAGCTTGGAAAATAAAAATATTAATAAGAAAGAAGATACAAAAGTTAAATCTTCTCTAGAAATGCGACAGGAGAGGCTAAAAAAAAAGATTAAAGAGTTGGAAAAAGAAGCTCTTGGAGAGAAACCTTGGCAATTAAAAGGTGAAGTTAGTGCACCAAATAGGCCACAGAATTCTTTACTAGAGGAATTTGTAGAATTTGATATTACAACTAGACCTCCACCTGTTATTACCGAGGAAACAACATTAAAATTAGAAGATATAATTAAGCAAAGGATAAAAGACAAAGCTTGGGATGATGTTGAGAGGAAGTTTAAACCAGTTGAAACTCCACTAGAATATAAGAAGAAGTTGATTTTAGACCAAGAAAAGAGTAAAGAAAGTCTATCTCAAATTTATGAGAATGAATACCTTAAACAGAAGAAAGCATTAAATCCAGATAATAATGAGAAGGAGGAAGAAGAACCAAAGTTACATAAGGAAATCCGTGAAATAATGAATTCTCTGTTCTCCAAATTGGATGCCTTGTCCAACTACCATTATACTCCAAAAATGGTAAGAGCATTACTAAAATATTTTTTCCATGTTGTACTTTTGAACTTCATTAATAATTAATGTTAATGTTTTAAATATTCATAGTTAATATTTATTTCTCTTAGGTTAAACCAGAGATTAAAATCGTTAATAATATGCCTGCAATCAATATGGAGGAAGTAGCACCAGTTGGAATGAGTGATGCTGCCTTATTAGCTCCAGAAGAAATTAAAGGTATATTTAATAAAAGATATAATCATATTTTTAATGTTACTTAATTTGATTTTATGTTTCCTCGATTTTATAGCAAAACCACGAGGTGAGTTGATTGGTAAAGCGGAAAGGACCAAAACGGATATGAAACGAGAACGAAGACGCAAGAAGATGAAACAACGAGCGCGACAACAAGCTATCGAGAAGAAAGAGAAATTAAATGCACTTAAACCTGGAGCTTCTAAGAAATACAAAAAAGAAAAGGCAGCAGAATTAGTAAAGAAATTGACCAAGAGTCGAAATATTATAAAAATGGATGAGACGAGTTTCAAAGCTCCGAAATCATCTACGGCATTTTTCAGTCAATTGCAAGACGAAGTGAAGAGTCACATTAAAGCCAAGACTGACAATGATAGTAAAAAGAAACAAAAAAATGTTCTATCTGCAATGAAATTAAAGTTGTAATTTTTGTACAGAGTTATTTAAATACAAAATATCGTATTATATAATTCACATTTGATTTTTGTAATTTAACTTTAACTCGATTTTTACTTGATTATACAGTTTGAATATAAACTTATAGGAATCCATAAATATATTCTATTTTATAGATCTTTCTTCTTTTATATGAAGATATTCCTTTAGAACTTTTTTTGATAATAAGAAATAAAGGGAAAATGATTTCAAATAATAGGGAAA